AATGGATTCTGTTTTGGGAACATCAACTGAAGCTCAGTATTATGAAAAATAACACACTAGATACAAAAATAGCTACGTTCAATTAATTTTTAATGCTATTATTTTTTTGAATGCTGAAAATTAAATACTATTATCTGATTCAACTCGCTGGTGGAAAATCATGTAAGCTTTCAGGTGTGAGCTCTCCTAAAGCAGAAATATCTAGACTTCTTACAAAATTATTGATCTAAAGATTAGATTATCAACAAATGTCACTTTCAGGATGGACTCAAAGGTCATAAATGCCAACCAGGTAGTTTGGATTTATTCTCAGGTAATGAAAAGCCACTGAAATGACAGCGTTCCTAAATACCTTTCTCAGTCTCATCTGATTATTACTCTCCCTGTTTGAATCCAACTATCCCTACAGTTTTAGTGATCACCTATATTAAGGTGGCTTCCAAATCTGTATTTTAATCACTGACATTTTTGGAACTGCAGATATGAGTATACAGTTGTCCTGGTATAAGCAACAAACTCTATTTACTCTTCCACGAACCCAACCATAAAGCCTGCTTCTCTATTTGCATTAGTCACTATTAGCCTCTATTTGCATGAATCAGTACATCACAATCCACCAGCTCTCCAGAATTAAAACAATAAAATCATCTTTGGCCTCTCCTCTTTTCTTTCCCCTCCCATCAGTCTAATTCATTATCAAGCTCAAAAGTTTTGCAAAATTTAAATTTTTCTTTCTGTGCCCATCACTTGAGTCCAGTAAGATCTCTTTCTAGGACCATGGTAAACCTAGAACACTCCCACCTAACAGTATTTTAGTACCCTCCCTCTCGCCTCTAGCTCATCTTTCATGGGGCTTCCAGAGTCATTTCTCTAAAAGTTCTAATCATGTCATACCTCTTCCCTGTTGAAAAGCTTTCAATGGCTACCTACTATCTACAGAATGAAGTACAAACTTCACACCTATAGTATTCAAGGCCTTTTACAATCTGACCTTGTCTATCCCCTTACTAAAACAGCTTTCTCTTGTTCTTCTACCCTGAAGTCTACCCACATGGCACCGCCTTCTAATCTCCGTGGCATTTCCTGCCTATAGCCTTAACCAAGAATACTCTTCTACCACTCTTTCTGAAATCGTATTTATCGTTCAAGGTACTGAGCAAACATTTCCAGCTATTTATCTCCCTAAATTCTTCCAGCTACAAGTAAACACGAGGCACTCTCTTCTTTTTCTAGCGCAGCTCTAACAGTCTGAAAGCTGTTTCTTATAAAAAGGCAAACATCTACCCCCTGATCTATGTTCTGAGTAAAAGGACTATACAGAGGAACCTAATCGTTTTCTACACAACAATCTTTCAAGTACTTGAAGCTCTTCCTAAATCTTCCCTTCACAGGTTCAATTTCCTCAAGAATCACAGGTAGTACTCAGAGATAAAGTTTCTAGAAAGTTTCCTCATGATAACTACCCCTGTGTAGACACTAGATTTTCAATCATCTCTCCTAAAGTGTGGTGTCCAGAACCAAACAATATTCTAAACCAGTGTTTTTGCAAATTACGTACTATATTCACTCCCCCTCTCAAATTTGGACATTCATAATGACTATTATCAACTTCAGTTGATAAACTTAACTGGGTTTTAACCGGGGGCAGATGTTTAATAATCATACAAAAGGAGGAGGTGAAAATAATAAAACAAGGTTCGAAGACGTTCTAGTTACAATCAAGCATATGATACAAGAATTTATCTCAAAAGGAAGAGAACTACCTTTTGAAACATGAGACAAATGGAATCAAGTGGATAAAAACTCAGATAATATAAATAAGAAGGGTGCAATACAACGGAATTTTCTAAACAAAGTTTAATTGAAGAATCTTTTACTAAATAATCTATCATAGAGCAAGCAGATTTTTAATAAAAAATGTTGATTAACACTTTGTTATTAAAAATGCCAACTACATGCTATATTCATAATCTTTTTATCCTGAAATTCCAATATGCTTTAAAGAAAGTTAAAATTTCAACAATCTAAACTTAAATTCAGCTGACTGGACAACAGTCAAGAGACTTATTTTGAATTATATAACAATATCTTTTCTCTCATTAAATAATATCCTATGTGAAAACATAGTTCTTTGATGACTGACACCACACTAATTAACTGAATTAAAAATTAATTTCCTCTGAAGAGTTCTTGGGGCTGTCCCATGGCCGAGTAGTTAAAGTTCCACGTGCTCAGCTTCCGCAGCCCAGGTTTGCAGGTTCGGATCCCGGGTATGGACCTACTCCTCTCATCAACCATGCTATGGAGGCATCCCACATACAAAACAGAGGAAGATTGGCATGGATGTTAGCTCAGGGCTAATCTTCCTCAAGCAAAAAAAAAAAGAGGAACATTGGCAACAGATGTTAGCTTAGGGTGAATCTTCCTCACCAAAAAAAAAAAAAAAAAAGGAGTTTTTAAATACTCTTCACTGATGGTGCTAAATGCTCAACAATTTATGCAATTCAAAGAAAACTCAAGGAGACTTCTAAAGAGTTCACCCTTCATATCAATGAAACAGGAAACTTAGATGACTTATTTTTGGAAAACTTGCTTTAAAACAAACTAAAGATATTTCCCTTTGATTTACAGTGGAAGCCTTAGGAAAGCTGTAACAGTATTTACAGAATGTACAACATCTGTGCTGCAGGCCTCAATTATTTAAAAACGGAGGCACACAGAGATATTAGCATATAATGATTCTCCTACATCATCAATAAAGGCCTGATTTTCTCACAACCGAGAGCACATGAATTCAAAATACCAAGCTGACTGCAGTATAAATTGGCATAAGCACTCTGGAAAATAATTTGGTATTATAATAAAGTTAAACATATCTTTTGACTCAAAAATTTTATTTTAGGATAGACATGATCTTGTTAATTTAAATTTTTCTTTAATGATATTGTATTTTCATTGAAATGATACAATGAAATCAATATAATTTTTTTCCAGTGGGCAAAAGATTTGAATAGATACTTCACCAAAGATTGTGACAAATGAGCATATGAAAAGATTCTCAACATCCTCAGTCATTAGGAATATGAAAATTAAAACCACAGTAAGATACCACTATACACCTCTTAGAATAGCTAAAATAAAAACAAAAAAACTTCCAATACCAAGTGCTGGTGAGGATGCGACACTAGAACTTTCACGTATTGCTGCTAGAAATGCAAAATGGTACAGCCAATTTGGAAAACAGTTTGGCAGTTTCTTATAAAGTTATATATACATTTACCACACAACCACTTCGAGGTATTCAACCAAGAGAAATTATGTTCACACAAAATCCTGTATGGGAATGTTTATAGAGGCTTTCCTCACAATCACCAAAAACTACAAACAACCCAAATGTCCTTCAACTGGTAAATGGATATAAACAAACTGTGGTAAACTCATACAATGGAATACTACGTAGCAATGAAAAGCAACCACTACTGACACATGGATGAACCACAACTGCATCATGCTATGTGAAATAAGCTGGACCCAAAAGACTAGATCCCCTGTAATTCCACTGATATGATATTCTGGAAAAAGGCAAAACCATAGGAAACATAAAGCAGATCAGTGGTTGCCAAGGACTGGGTATGGGGTAAGGGAACGAACTACCTTCTAAGGGCTGGTAGGAGCGACTTTTTGGGGTGATGGAACTGTTCTTTACCGTGATTGTGGTGATAGGCAACTCTATGCATTTGTCAAAAAACATAAAACCGTACACCAAAAAGGGTGAATGTCACTGTATGTATATTATACTTCAATAAAAAAAATCAACCCGACGTTTTGCATATTTTTTTAATGTTACTGACAACTTATGGAAAGAAACATCTTTCCCTCTGCTTGCAATCTGTCAAGAAATACTTCACCACCATGCTAGGTTTTTTGTGGACTTTTTTTTTAAGACACATTCTTTGCCCTGATAGAGTTTAGCAGCTCATTAGGGAAGCAAGTCTAAGATATTAAAATACACTACAGAAGAAGGCTAGGCAAAACAATTTTGAGTGTAAATCACAGAATACACTTTATATGTGCTCTACGAGGAAAGAGGGAGTAATTTCCTTTGTCAAGAGTTGCAGGAAACGAATGGAACAGTTTTGGAAAGGTTTTAGCGCTTCTCAATGATAGTTATTAGTATCATCTCCAACTTTCAAGTGAGGATACTGAGACCTAAACAAATACTTTGTCCGTGACCTCTTAGCTATTAGGCGTCAGAGCTGAGATAACCTAAGCCTTTCTACTCCCGAAGCCTGAGATGTTTTGCATCCCGATGACGGAACAAGACAGAAGAGAAGACGGCTGCCACGTGGAGTGACGTCAGTGAACAGGAACGTCCCTGCGCTCCCTGACTCCGCGCGAATCCTGCACAGGACGCTACCGTTAGAGCCGTGGGTCTCACAGGGAGTGCAACCGGGGCTTGGAGGGCTAACTCGCGGGAAAGGGAACGCGGAGTCTGTGGGGATCTCTTGTCCACACTGTCCGTGCGCACGGACCTTTTCTGGCAAGCCGTGGTTGGGAGGACGGTGACGCACGGGGCCAGCGCCGGAGCCACTAAGAAAGGTCAACACCAAGAAAGAGGACAGCGGAGGCGCTCCAGACACACCTCCTCTATCACAGGGTGCCGGCCGGGTCGCAAGAGGGGCTCAGGAGGAGGAAAGGCCACTTGCCTGCCCTTCCCGAGACGATAGTAAAAGACCTCCGAGGACTTGTCCCCGTGTACGTCGCCCAACGGCAAGGGCCGACGCTGCGGGGGAAGGCGCCGGGGGCAGGCACGGTGCAGAGCCGCCCAGCGAAAGCCAGAGCGAAGGCTAACGGCAAAGGCGCAGGGGGCGGCGGGCTGAACGAACTCGGGTGGTCCCGAGGGGATGTCACAAGTGTCGCACGGGGCGTGGGTTTACGAGACGCTCTCGCTTGCCCTTCATTTACCGACTAGGCAACCGCTGCCCTCGCTCGCTCCTCACCTCTCCAGTTCTTGTACTCCGGGATACAGTAGTATTTGTTTCCGAACCGGTCTGTGCCCACTTGCTCCTTCACGTCCTTCGACAGCGCTCTACACAAGGCGCGGAACAAATCCTGAGACCAACCCATGCCGGCCGCCCAGCTCCCAGCACCCGTCACAGCGCGATCTGCGGCGACCGGAGCAGGAACGCCCCAGCCGCCGGCCCCGCCCATCGGACCGGAGGACCCACCCGCCCGCATCCTTGCGCCCGTCTAGTAACGGCGCTCACCATTGGCCGGTTCGCATCACGGCTTGACCAATGGGAGGCTCCGTTGTTACAGGCCCACCTCCGAGGCCTGTCATGGCGGCGGCCAGTTTTCCAGTCTGTGTGACAGGAAAGGATGCTAGGGTTTTTGTCGGCGCGACAAGCCGGTTTGGACGACCCTCTTCGCTTCCGGAGAGCGGAGTCCACACGGAGGTAAAGAAACCCTTACTCTTTTCTGTAACAGAGACGTAACAGTTCTGTAACAGTTGAATCTGGACCGATGGCTACGTTAGCTTTGCCTCACGCTTTCCCGCCTTATCATCATTTTCCTCCCACCACACTGGCTCTGCTCTCTCTTCTGCTCTGTGGCTTGGGAAAATGATACCTTTTATGTGCTTGTAGGCAGGTAGGTGCGCACGTGGGCTCGGGTGAGGGCGCTATAAATCTAAATGAGGATAATTCGCATTTTACCTTATTCTTTCTCCCTCATATTACGTCTCCCCGCCCTTTCGGCCCAAGGAATAACTATCCTCCAAGGATTCGTTCATTTATTCAGTCGACATATTTAGTGAGCGCCTACTGTGTGCCAAACAGTTTGTTAAAGGCTGAGCATAAGCCAGGAATTGAACAGAGTTTAGCATGACTAGAGCAGAGCTGGGGAGGAGGGAACCGTTGACAAGAGATGAAGCTAGGGAAGTAGGCAGAGACTAGGTGAGGAACAGTCTTGTGTGCTTGGTTAAGAGCTATGAAGATGAGAATAAGGTGACAACTGTTGCATTTTGTCATCTGTTTGGAGAATGAATTGAAGTTGAGAACAAGAGTGCAGTAGCTACCTGTTGCAAGGAGAGAGTTGTTGGAAGCCTGGCCCAGGCAGGTGGTATTTGGGTGGAATAGAGTGAAGATATTTGAAAAATATTTGGGAAATAGAATCAACCAGCCATGGAAATTGATTGGATATAGTGAATGATGAAAAGGGAAGAGTCAACAATGATTCCCAGCTATGAGCCCTGAAGAGCCCTGTAGAATGATGGTGACATTGCTACCCGAAGAGGGAGCAAGTTTTAGTTTAATTTTACCCACATTGATTTTTCCCCTATTGCTTTCAAGGAACCTGTGAAGATTTTCATCTGGAGAGTGGAGGACACAATCGCATATGCAATCACATGGTACATAACCACATTTTGGTCAATGATAGACCACATACACAATGGTAGTCCCATAAGATTAGTACCATATAGCCTAAGTGTGTACTAGGCTATACCGTCTAGGTTTGTGTAAGTGCTGTAGGGAAGAACGAAATTTCCCTCTACCCTTCTAGGTTCTTCTGGCTGGTCTAAGAATTAAACTGATCTGAGGCAGATTAACAGGAGAAAAACAAGCAAAACTTTAATAACGTGTATACGTGGAAGAAACCCAGGAAAACCAAGTAACTAGCCAAAGTGGCAGAAACCCTCATCTTAAATACACTCCTCAGCTAAAAGACAGATATTGTGGGTAAGGAGTGTCAAGGACTTCAAAGGGAAGAAAGATAATTCACAAGTAGGTGAAAAGGAGCTTCTTTGGAAAGCAAATGCTTGGCCACACAGAAACAGAAGAAGACATGAGGGAGCACAACAAACAGGCTTTTCTAGATTCCTCCCTGTCTACCACCTAGTTCACATTATGCTAAGTTGATAGCTCACTTCCTGAGACAGGTTTTTTAATCTGAATTCTTTTGTGCAGTTAAGGGGGAGGTAACAAGAAAAACTTTGAGTCTTTTGTTTTTTAAAAATAATCAGCCTAAAATAATCTTCATGTTGGAGACACATTTTAGGGTGGCAAATTTTGTTCTCCTTTAGTGAGCTCTATGATGTTCACACAGTGACGGAATTGCCTAACAACACATTTCTCAGAAGATATCCCCATCGTTAAGCAGGGCATACCTGTATGTATTTGATGCTCAGGAGAAATTTAGATATCATTAATGCAAGATGATATGTGAATTGAGGAGATGAGATCACCCAAGCACTATTTTTAGAGTAAGAAGAGAGAAGTTCAATGACAAAAACCTGAGAAGGATCAATACTTCAAGTTAGGCAGAAGATGGGAGTACAAATGAACTGAAAAGGAGTAACAACAGGAATTGAAAGAGAACCAGGGCAGTGAGGTGTCATGGGTGCTGAGGAAAGACAGTGTTTAAGGAGGAAGCCATTGAATGGGTCAGGTGTCGCTCCCAGCCACTCCTTTACTCTGGTTCTCCATCCCATTACTCTGCTTTATTTTCTTCATTCAGTTTATTACTACTAAAATTGTATTATATGTTTATTTTCTTACTAGTGTATTATCTTCTTAACCCCTATGAGAAAAGGGACTTGTATTCCCAGTGCCTAGAAGAGGGTTTGGCACAATTTATGTGATGTTTTTGTCTTCTAAAGTGTTGTATTATCCTTACATTTTAGTATTATGCTTTTAGAATGGGTAAATATGTTTCTAAATAGTTCACATAATTTTAACTAAACGAACATATTTTTTTTACCATGTTTTGGTTAGTTTTAAACATGATTGGGGCTGCATCTACTGCTGTCCCCCTGCCCCCAACCCCAGTTAGTGTACAGTTGATGATAATTCCTTTTCAGCTCAGTCATGCACTCTAATAAGAGCACTCAGACATAGCCAGAGGTTTTTATTCCAGTGACAGCAAGAACTCAAGCAAAATTTATGTGTATCAAAATTTGTCAGTCTGATAATATGGCTTGTTTCCACCAAGTAGTTCTGTAATTTTTCCATTATGATCAGCAACGTAAACATTGGAAGAGAGTGAACTTGCGTATTGTCTTATCTTTAATTTCAGTGAAAATAGCTGCACTTTTTTAAAAAGAAGCAACATTATTGTTTCCCCTAATATGTTCAGAAGTCTTGTCATATCAGTAATAATTTAAATCATATGCACCACTGAGAGTCTGAAAAATGGGTTTCTCAGAGTGTTTTAATTCCAAAAAGTCCTTGGTCTGAGGAAGCAACGAGGTATAGCTCTTTGTCAGAATTCCATGACATAAACCTCTTACTTCATTAGAAGAAATAAAAGTTCAAAATGGTGAAAGTTTCCTAACCAAATCGCCAGATTAATCCATCTATAAATGGATTTCATTTCCTCTGTAGACATGCTAATTCCCTGAGCATACTTAACACTTCCAGCTGAAAACCTACTCTCTGGTAATCCCATACACATCTCTCCCACCAATTGCTTTGTGTGCTTCTCAAAAGTCAGTATTTGTCCCTAACCCTGTTAATGCTAGTTTTACATATTATTCTGATTGTCATTTTAATGTGAGCTGATGAAGTATGACTACAAAAAGAGAGTTGCTGTTCTTATAAAAACTAAATGAACCACTTTTGAAATACTCAATCTAAACAAATCGCTTAAAACAAAATAAGGTATGATTGAGACAACTATAAGCAAAGATTGGGGGAAAGTCCAAAAAGAAGAAACAGTATTTTTCAACTTTGCTGGAATATTGGCATCACATAGGATATTTGGAAAAAATGTTCATGCCAAAATTCCAAACCCATAAATTCTGATTTAATTGGTCTGAGACACTGGGATTTTTTTAAGCTCCCTTGGTGATAGTAATGTGTAGCCAGGATTGAGAACCATTTCTTGAGAAAGATTCCACATTCAGTTGCTCTGCATATGTCTTAGATTCTGCATTCATTTGCTTCGCATATGTCTTAAATTTCCACCCAACTTAAATAAATGTTAATAAATAAAAAACAAATTTTTGAAAATCAGAATATGTATAATATGGGTACAGTTTGTAAAAGAAAGATGGTATGGCCCTCTGTTCACTACATTTAATTCTACTTCAAACAATTGGCAAATATTCAGGCCATCCTTGCTTTGCATAGTAGTGCACATCCATAAAACTGAGTGTGAAACCTAGGCAAAGTGATCTTAATAGTCAATGGGGAAAATTATGATTCTTCTGGGATCTTTAAGCTTTTTGTCAAAACACTTAAAAACCATTACTGTCAGCTATAAATGTTTAGGGAAATGAAAAAATAGTAGACGCTAATATTTATTTAGTACATTGTAATGTAAACATTAGAAATGATGAGAATTCAAGTTATTTCTTTGTTAAAAAACAGGAACTTATAATACAAATTGAGGATCTTTTCTATACTTTGACTAATTATCATACTCCTTTCTAAATTTGGGTCAGATACCCAACATTTTGTCCTTTGCATTTTTAATGTCATGAAATATCTCTGAAAGTTCCTTTAATGTGAAGGTTTTTGCCAGCGTCACTTCCTCTGGGACATCTTCAACCTTTTCATCACAACCACTTTTCCTCATTTCTGCTTATAAGTTCACCTTCATGGATTTCCTCGGTCCACATATCTAGAGTTTCTCAAGTGGGAGCAGTGCCAATGTTCCCTCAGCTATTTCTTTTATAATTCGATTTATGTTCAATTTGAGTTTCACTTCCAGCATTATCACTTTGTGTTTCTTTGGTGCACTTTAATTTTGTTGGCCAATTCCCTTGTTCAATTATCCCTTTTTTAAAAATTCCTTGTGAGCTTATCTCAGAGGCGAAGAGGTAGCAAAACTATACGCTTTGCAGGCAGTGTGAGAAACAGAATAATAAATGCACAGTGACCAGTCACCTCCAGACTTTCAAAGTCATATAAATTGGTCACTAATTATGATGTGATAGTTTCAGTGATTTGTGAACTGAAAAGCTATTATTGAACTTTGTGTTTTGTTCTGTTACTCATGGTTAATAGCCATGGTAACTGAAGTTTGAACTATGTTGTCAGGGCTCTTGCATTATTTAACTAAACCATGATAACTGAAATTCATGTATATCAGACTGTGCAAAGCAAGGACTACTTGTGTATTTCACTTAAAATACTGTGTTTAAGGCAGTATTTCTTTTTAAAGATTCCCCTCATTAAGTGACATTTTTGTTTAATTAAACAATTACACAGTCCAATTTTATTAAGAGATGTTTACTATAGGGGCCAGCCCCATGGTTAAGTTTGCATGCTCCGCTTTGGCGGCCCAGGGTTTCTCCAGTTCGGATCCTGGGCGCAGACATGGCGCCGCTCGTCAGGCCATGCTGAGGCAGCATCCCACATGCCACAACTAGAAGGACCCACAACTAAAAATATACAAATATGTACCAGGGGACTTTGGGGAGAAAAAGGAAAAATAAAATCTTTAAAAAAAAAAAAAAAGATCTCTACTGTAATTTGCCCCAGGTTCTTATCTATTGTTTAGGGCAAAAGCATGAACACTGAAATGCAATGGTTACAATTCTTACCCCCCAACTTTATTTATTTATTTGTTTTTAAATATTTTATTGTAGTTTTTTTTTTTTTTTGAGGAAGATTAGCCCTGAGCTAACATCTGCCGCCAGTCCTCCTCTTTTTGCTGAGGAAGACTGGCCCTGAGCTAACATCCGTGCCCATCTTCCTCTAGTTTATATGTGGGACACCTACCACAGCATGGCTTGACAAGCGGTGACTTGTCCGCACCCAGGATCTGAACCAGCAAACCCCATGGCCACCCAAGTGGAACGTGCGCACTTAACCGCTGTGCCGCTGGGCCAGCCCCACAACTTTATTAAGGTACAGTTGACATACTATAAACTCCACGTTAAATTAGAGTATACAATTTGATGAGTTTTGACACATATATACACTTTTGAAACTATCACCATAATCAAGAGAACAAACATCTGAAAGCCCCAGAATTTCATCAGGACTCTTTAATCCCTCACTCTCTTCTTTCCCTGCTTCACCCTCTTTCTGTTCCAGGAAGCCACTGATCTACTTTCAATCACTGTAAATTAGTTTGCATGTTCCAGATTTTTGTATAAATGAAATCATTTTTGGTCTGGCTTCTTACACTCAGCATAATTATTTTGAAATTTCTTCATGTTGTTACATGTATCAATTCCTTTTTACTGTTGAGGCGTATTCTATTGTGTAAATATACCACAACTTGTTTATCCATTCACTTGTTGATGGACATTTAAGTCATTTCCACGTTTTGGCTATTACATATAAAGCTGATATCAAAGATTCATGTATAAGTCCTTGTATGGACACATGCTTTTATTTCTCTTGGGTGCCTGTCTAGCAGTGGAATAACCAGATATAATATTTCACTTTTTAGGAAACTGACAGTTTTCTAAAAACTTACATTCTCACCAGCAGTGGATGAGAGTGCTGGTTGCTCCATATCTTTTCTTTCCCTTTTCCTGCTTTCTTTTGGGTTATTTGGACATTATTTAGTATTCCATTTTAATTTATCTGTTATGACTTTGACTATATCTCTATATGATTTTTTTGATGGTTGCTCTAAGTATTGTAAAATACCTACTTAACTCTTCGTTGTCTACTTAGAATCAATATTTTACTGCTTCATTTGGCTTATAGAAACTTTTATCACTTTACTTTCCACCATATATGTTGTCTTCTATGTTACATTTACGTACATTGTAAACCCTATTGGACAATGTCGTACTTTTTATTTTCAACTGTCAAACATATTTTACGGAAAAGCATAGTCTATTATATTTACCTAGATATTTATCATTTCTGTTGCTTTTCCTACATTCCTGATATCCCAAGTTTCCTTCTTAATATCATTTCCCTTCTGTCCGAAGAACTTTGTTTAGCATTTCTTTGAGAGCATATACTAAAATTCCTGGTATGTACATGCACGTACCTAGAATGTCCCAAAATTTCAGACTCCCAGAAGCAAAGCAAGTATTCATCATTGTTTGCTCCAGATAGTTTAGGCACAGTGAACCATTCTTATCCAGGAATGGCGGGAACCCTCCTGAAATCCCAGAAGCCAGGCAAGGGCCAGTATTGCAAGAAGGCCTTTCTAAGGATGGCAGTCTCAGACCTGCTATATTAACTCTTTTATGCACACCTTGCCACCTTCCATGCACACCCCACCCCCATTTCCCTATCATATTACCCTTCTCCTTTCCCTTCATCTTAACCCCTCCTAGTTCCCTACTTCAGTCCTAAAGTCTTTGAGGGGGGCAGAGGTCAGCTTCCAAAAACAGGCAGGGATTAGGTTGGCCTAGAGTGATATTTCAGAGCCTAAGGAGGTAGTCTAAGTGCAGGGACTAACAACCTCAGATGATAAGGGCCCTGGGGAGGGGGCTGGGGTGCAGAAATCAAAGCCCAAGCAGCATCCTTCTTGGGGGCGGGGGGAGGGGATGGTAGTGGTGATGGCTAGGTCCAGGGATATTGATCAAATAAATATATGAATGATAATGGGAGCCATGTTTCTCACTGTTAGGAGAAGGGAACTCAAGCAAGGGATGATTATCTTTGCACATGTTTGTATGATATTTTGCTTATTACAGGAAGCACATATTACTGTTATAATTTGAAAAATCATCAAATAAAAAAATATTTTAAGGAGAAATGGAAATTTCAATGGAAAAAAATGTGAAAAATTATTTTCTGTTGAAATATTGAAGATCAGAAATAGCAGAATAGCATAGTGGTTTAGAGAAAAAAATGTCAGAGTTCAGATACAGTTCAGCCAATTATTATATGTATGACATTTGGCAAATTACTTATGTCTTAGTTTTATAATCAGGAAAAGTGTTTAACAGTATAACCTACCACCCAGGAAATCTGCCATTTAGGATTACCACTTATTACACTTATTATTACCACTAATTACAATGTCAGCAAATAGTAGGCTCTTAATATTAGCTGTTATTGATCAAAGTCAGACAAATAGTAAGTGTTAGACTGGATATTTGAACCTAAGGCTAAACTGTCTTCCAGAAGACAGAAGGCTATGTATATCTTTGGATCAAACAATACTGCTAAAATGATTTCCAAAATGTGTATAATTATTAGTACTGCTAGTCAGTGTGTAAAAGTATCAAGTTGTACTTTTTCTAGCACTGTGTGCTATTTTTTTTAAAGAACCAGTAAGTTGATAGGCTAAGAAATTTCATGTAAGTTAGCATCATATTGATCAATAATGAGTTTAGAAATAATTCTGGTTAAATTAATGTAAACTACTTTTTAACATCCAACAGATTTAGACAAATTCTAATATTTAATAGTCACTAGGGACTTATTATATGCTAGGCATTGTAATGAGGATTTTTTTATGTATTAACTCAGTTAATCTTAATATCCTCACCAGAATAATGATGGTTTACAGTTATGAAATATCAGAAATTTCATTTGTCTTAATTTGTGAGAGTACTTGTTAATCATTTTTGTTTATAAATATTTAATTGGCTTTATTTAAATATGCCTAATTGTTGAATTGAACATACTCATTTTGTATTTCCACTTAAGGCTTAAGAAACACTCAAGGGAGTTTTTTTTAATGCTATAATTTAAGCTTCTGTCCACTAGATGTCCTCAGTTAAGTTTAAGTTATCAGAATTTAACTTTTTGTGAAAATTTATTTCAGTCTCTAAATATCTTAATAAAAACTTAATAAAATACACTCTCTAAAAGAAGTGTGAGATAATGTTTCAGGAGAAATTCTTTGCATGTAATTGTTAGTACTGTTGATACTTCAAAAATTAGTATAAGATCTTTAAAATCTATAAATACCTTTTGATGTGTGGTAGAAGGAGATTTAAGCGTTACTTGAGTTTTTGTACTATATGTAATCTTGATGAAATAAGGGCATTTTTTATGTTTAAATTACTTTTTCATTGTTTAGTTTTATATTTCTTTTAACCCACTTTTAATTTTTTTATTTTCTTAAAGGGTTTTGGCCCTGGAGTTAAACAAAGACAGAGATGTTGAAAGGATCCATGGCAGTGGAGTTAACACCCTTGACATTGAACCCGTTGAAGGGAGATAGTAAGTTTATTATACAATCTTTCTTTTTCTAAGTGAGATGCAGTAAAATCTTGCTTTCAGATTAATTATGTAAAGGTTCATAAAAATTACTAAAAATTCTAAATTTTAGCATTTTTAATCTGGCGTTAATTTCAAATAAATACAGAACATCAAACATACAAAATGTTGCCAGATAAACGTTTCCAAACTATAATATATAAATATATTCATTGTTAAATTAACAAACATTTAACTTCTTTTAGATGCAGAGGGCTTTTAAGTGCTGGGATTTGTGTCTCTCTGTTGGTGCCATTTTAAAACATAGTTGCTACTCTCCGGGATTCTGATGGGAAAACAAATATAGAAAGCATAAGTTTATTTTGGAGAATTAAGTTTGAAGCAGACCAGACTTGTATTTGAGTTCCTCCTGGCTTTGCCACTTATCAGCTGTGTGACCCTGAGCAATTTACCTAACCTTTCTAATCCCTAATTGCCTTAGCTCTACGATGGGAGCAATAATACCTACATAATAAGTTTGTTGTGAAGATTAATTGAGATCCTATGTATAACGTGATTGGCATAAGACCTGGCATATCATAAATGGTTGCCACCACTCCTGTTAATCAAAAGCATTGTCACCTATACTTTTACTCCTTTTAGTCCATTCTCCACACAACAGCTGAAGTGCTTTGAAAAATGCAAATCTGAACATGCCATCCCCACACTTAAAACTCATCTTGGTCCCACATTACCCATACAAGAAAGTTCAAAACCCTTCATGTGATCTATAATTAGAACAAGTGTAAAAGTAAAGAAAAGGTTCTTGTCGAGATGGCGCTGTGAGCAGATGTTGAACTCGCCTCCTCCCATGAACACAGCCAGGTTACAACAATTTTAGGAAGAATCACCCTGAAAACTGAAAACTGGATAAAAAGAACCCCCACAACAAGGGACAGTCCTGATGAAAGCAGAAGAGGTAGTAACTCCGGCCGGAGAGGAAAAAAGCCACCTTTGGGAGCAGCAGAGCTTCTCAGCCGGCCAGGCAGCAGCCAACCTAAGGTACGCAGCCCTCCCTGGAGGAGTGAGGTCCGGAGCAGGGGCAATACTGCTATAACCATCCTTCGGACTCAGCCCAACTGAGAGGGGGGTCTTACTGTCTGGCCTTGATGACTATTAACTACAGCGAGGACACCCCAGAAAAGCTATTGGCCGAAAGCCAAAAAGATCCAGGTCATAAAGGGCCCACGCACAAACTCACTCATTGCAGCAACCTAAAATCACCAGAGAGAAGGCTGACTGTCCTTTGGTGAAACAAGACTCACCTCTTGGGCTCTGTGGGCATCTTGGTGAGAGGAGGATCCTCTCTGGAGACTGAGACATTGGTAGGGGCCCTTGTTCTGAGCTGGTCCAGGCATGCTGATACGGACACTGGTGGGGGCCATTGAGTTGTATCCCTTGGGCTGTTAGCCCAGGGGTCTGCCACACCCATTAGAGCACAGATTTAATCCAATTCAGCCAGGGCAGGCAACCCGCCCTAGGGACTGGCCCCACCTAACAGCAAACCCTCAGGCTACTTTTCAGCCTGCATTGACTGAGTGCCTGGATCCTCTACAGGCAGGCAAAGGTGTCTGTCTCTGTGGGGCAGGGCTTGTGTGAGGACCAGGTGAACTGTGGGGGGCAGTGGGGCAGAGGTGGGAGCCTCTGCAGTGTGGCGGTGGGGTACGCTCCAGGGGGTTGAGAAGTGTGCACGGACCAGGACTATGCTGACAGTGTATGTGGTTCAAAGAGGGGTGAGGCTTATCAGCGTCAGAAGACTTGTGTTTCACAAATAGCCAAAAAAAGGATCAGCCCCACCTTCCAAAGCCTGAAACAACTGAGTGCCTCCATGCCAAGGGCTAGCCCTACTCAGCTGCACTCCTAAGAGAACTGACAACAGCCTTGTAGGCCTCAGGCCTATCACAACTGTATGCCCCTGAGCCTAGCAACCAGCTACACTGGGTACCAACCCAATTAAGAGGACAATTGCAATAAGAGTGTGCTAATAGACTTTGTAGCCAACAGTGCTGAGGCCCCTCCAAACCAGATTTACAAACAGCTGGCCAGGGAAGGAAAGATCAGACTCCCTGGGTACCTGCAGTGGGAGCCACCCTGCCACAGCAGAAGAACACAAGTAGCCCACAAAGGGGTCACTCGTGGTTTTTATGGTCTGGTGACAAGAGAAAAGCACACTGTTGGGCCTCATAAGGCATCTCATACATAAGGCCACTTCTCCAAGATCAGGAGACATAGCTCACTCACCTAGTACAAAGAAAATAGCACAGAGAAAGAGGCATAATGAGGAGGCAAAGGAATACTTTCCTAGCAAGGGAACACTACAAAACACCAGAAAAGGAACTAAGTGAAACAGAAACTAGTGACCTCCTTGACAAAGAATTCAAACAAAATATAATGAGGATGCTCACAGATATGCAGAGAAGAATGGATGAACACAGTGAGCACATCAGCAAAGAATTGGAAGATATAAAAAAGAACCAATCAGAAATGAAGAATACAATACTCGAAATGAGAAATTCACTAGAGGGACTCAGTAGCAGAGTAGAGGAAGCAGAAGAATGGATCAGCAAGCTAGATGAAAGATTAGAGGAAATCACCCAAGCAGAACAGAAAAGAGAAAAAAGAATTAGACAGAATGAGAACAGTGTAAGGGAACTCTGGGACAATATCAAGCGTGCTAGCATTCAGATTATAGAGGTCCCAGAAGGAGAAGAGAGAGACAAAGGGGCAGAAAATTTATTTGTCGAAATAATAGAGGAAAATTTTCCTCACCTGAGGAAGGAAACAGACATCCAAGTTCAGGAAGCACAGAGAGCTCCAAACAAGAGAAGCCCAAAGAGGCCCACACCAAGACATATTATAATCAAAATGTGTAAAATTAAAGACAAAGAGAGAATCCTAAAAGCAGCAAGAGAAAGGCCACAAGTGACATATAAAGAGAAGCCCATCAGGCTGTCAGTGGACTTCTCAGTTGAGACCATACAGGCGAGAAGAGAATGGCACGATATATTTGAAGTGCTAAAAGGAAAAAGCCTACAACCAGGAATACTCTATCCATCAAGGCTGTCATTCAGAATGGAAGGAGAGATAAAGAGCTTCCCAGACAAGCAAAAATTAAAGGAGTTTATCACTAAGAAACCACTTCTACAAGAAATGCTGAAAGGACTTATTTAAGTGGGAAAGTAATGACCACAAATAGAGATAAAAGAAAAAAAATTATCAAAAAAACCCAAAACAACAAGAAAAAACAGGCAATAAAATCACTTGTAAGGTAAAAGTATAGTAAAGGCAGCAGATCAACTACCTGTGAAGGTAATATGAAGGTTAAAAGACAAATGTACTAAAATTACCTATTTCAATGATAAGAGGGTAATGGATATACACACACTAAACAAAAGACTATATATGATGTGAAAAACATATAACGTGGGAGGAGGGGAGTGAAAAAGTAGAGCTTTTAGAAAGAGGTCAATAGACTGTTATATGCATAGTATATTAAATAGGATCCTCATGGTAACCACAAACCAGAAACCTATAACAAGCAGGAAAAAAAGTAAGACAAATGAAATCAAACATATTACTAAAGATAGCCATCAAACCACAAGTGAGGAGAGCAAGAGAAAAAGAAAGGAACTGAGAAGAAGTACTAAAACACCCCAAAAAAAGAAAAAGTGACAAAATGGCAATAAATACATATTTATCAATAGCTACTTTAAATGTCAATGGACTAAATGCTCCAATCAACTGCCATAGGGTGGCCAACTGGATAAAAACACAAGATCCATATATATGCTGCATACAAGAGGCACACTTCAGACCTACAGACACTCACAAACTGAAAGTGGAAGGATGGAAAAAGATATTCCATGCAAATGGCAAATGAAAGAAAGTGGGGGTAGCGATACTTATATCAGACAAAATAGACTTTAAATCAAAAACTGTAATAAGAGACAAAGATGGGCACTACAAAATGATAAAGGGAACAATCCAACAAGAAAATATAACACTTGTAAATATCTACGCACCCAACATAGGAACACCTAAATATATAAAGCAATTATTAACAGACATAAGAGGAGAAATAGACAGTAACACAATAATAGTAGGGGACTTTAACGCTCCACTTACACCAATGGATAGATCATCCAAACAGAAGATCAATAAAGAAACACTTGCCTTAAAGGACACATTAGACCAGATTGACTTAGTAGATATATACAGAACATTCCATCCAAAAACCATAGAATACACATTCTTTTCAAATGCCCATGGAACATTCTCCAGGATTGATCACATATTAGGCCACAAAACAAGTCTCAATAAATTTAAGAAGATTGAAATAATACCATGCATCTTTTCTGACCACAAAGGTATGAAACTGGAAATCAACTACGGAAAGAAAAGCCATAAAAATGTGGAGATTGAACAAAATGCTACTCAACAATGATGGGGTCAATGAAGAAGTCAAAGGAGAAATCAAAAAATTCCTGGAGACAAATGAAAATGAAAATACGACATGCCAAAATCTGTGGGATACAGCAAAAGTGGTTCTACGTGGGAAGTTTATAGTAATTCAGGCCTACCTCAACAAAGAAGAAAAATCCCAAATAGACGATCTAAAAGTGCACCTAAAGGTACTGGAAAAAGAACAACAAACAAAGCCCAAAATCAGCAGAAGGAAGGAAATAATAAAAATCAGAGCAGAAATAAACGAAATAGAGACTAAAAAAACAATAGAAAAAATTAATGAAACCGAGAGCTGTTTCTTCAAAAAGATAAACAAAATTGACAAACCCTTAGCTAGACTCACCAAGATAAAAAGAGAGAAGGCTCAAATAAATAAAATCAGAAATGAAAGAGGAGAGATTACAAAAGACACCTCAGAAATACAAAAGATAATAAGAGAATACTATGAAAAGCTATACGCCAACAAATTGGATAATCTAGAGGAAATGGATAAATTCTTA